TTTTTTTTTTTTTTTTTTTGAGACAGGGTCATGCCATGTTGTTCAGGCTGGTCTTGAACTCACTATGTAGTCCAAGTTCACTAGCCTTGAACTTAATGGCAGTCTTCCTGCATCAGCCTTCCAAGTCCTGGGATTACAGGGGTGTGCCTCTGTGCCCAGCTCTACTAAGTAATATTTAAAGCCACAGGAATGGATGATGTCACTGGAATACATGTAGAGAGAAGAGAAGGAAAGATTCCTGGACATACATTTATAGGTTGAGAACTGTAGGAGCCAGCACAAGACACTGAGAATGAGTAACCACAAGGCGAGAAGAATACTGGGAGAGGGTAGTATCATTAAAGCCAAGAGAGGAAAGTATTTGGAGATCTAGGTGTTTGAATAAGTCAGTTGCTGAGAAGCCTTCAAAACAGTTGAGTTGCTGGGCATGGTGATGCTCGCCTGTAATCCCAGCATGTGGGAGACTGAGACAGGAGGATTGCTGTGAGTTTGAGGCCAGCTTGTACTACGTATGAGTTCGAGGCCAGCCTTAATTAGAGCAAGACCTCATTTCAAAAAAACCGCAAAACAAACAAAAATCAGTTGACCCCTGGACGGTCAACATCATCATTCTTAGTCACCTGGACAAAGTAGTCAAAAGAATCTTTTCCTTTTTCTTTCTGTGGTGCTGGGAATCAAACCTAGATCCTCACCCATGCTAAGTACATGAACTACTGCTGAGACCCATCGCAGCCCCAAGAATTAGGTTTTTTGTTTTTGTTTTGTTTTGATACTGTTGATTGAACCCAGGGCTTTTGCCCTGAGGTACATCCCTAGGATACCCTCCCCCCTTTAAAAAAAATGTAGCCAAGGGCTGGGGATTTAGCTCAGTGGTTCTGCCGCCTGCCTTGCAAGCACAAGGACCCGAGTTCGATTCCCAGTACCAAAAAAAAAAAAAAAATGAAGACAGGTCTCACTAAGGTGCCCAGTCTGGACTTAAACGTGCAGTCTTTTTGCCATAGCCTCCCAGAGTACTGGGATCACAAACATGGGCCACCACACCTGTCTCCAAGAATTAAATTTTATAGCCTAAGTTCATTTGGAGGTACCTGTGAGTTGTCCAGATAGAGATGCGAGGCAGTGAGCTTCCTTCCTTCTCACTTCCTTGAGGACAGGCACTTGCTGTGTGTGGGTGTGCTGAATTGATGGAGCGTATCTGAAGCCCTCAGCCCTGCCGAGAGGTGTGTGTTCCTAAGCACTGGGGCACCAGAAGGAACTTCCTAGGGTTGGTGAGACCTGTGCTTGTCCTGACGAATGGAGAGGCTTTGGGTAGGATGTGTATTCTAGGAGGGAGGCAAAGGAACAGAGACCAGGCAAGGTAGATTTGGTGAGTAAAGCCAGTGTCCTCTTGAGAAGCAGTGGGATCAGAAGTTGGAAAGGAAGGTCAGGCGTGGTGGCGCATGCCTGTAATCCCAGGACTTGGGAGGCTGAGGCGGGAGGGTCTCTGTAAGTTCGAGGCCAACCTGGGCTGCATAGTAAGTTTAAGAGCAGCCTGAACCTGTCTCAAAAAGATCAAAGTGGGGGGGGGGTTGGAAAGGTAATTGGGGATAGATGCAGAAAGCCTTTGAATGTTAGGTTTGACCTTGGGCAGGGACATGATACTTTGAAAATGGTAAAGCAGAGGAACTGTCATTTGTGTTTGCCAAGCAGGCCCAGACCAGCTAGCTCTTCATCCAGGTTTATGCTCAGCTACTTTCTTGGTTCTGGCTGTTGTAACGAAGTACCATACATAGAATGGCTTAAACTATCAGAATTCAGCCAGGTGTAGTAATGCACACTGTAATCCCAGCAGGTTTGAGAGGCTGAGGGGGGAAGATTACAACTTCTAGCCCATCCTGATCAAATTAGTTCAGACTGTCTCAATTTTAAAAAGGGGTGGGGCTGGAGTTGTAGCCCGGTGGTAGAGTACTTGCTGAGTGCATTTGAGTATGTGTGGTACCTCTCTACTGCAAAAACAAAATAAACACCAGAACTTTCTCGCAGTTCTGTAGGATACCTGAGATTGGGGTGCCATCATGGTTGGGTTCAGGGCAGTCTCTTGTCATGGTAGCTCCATCCTCACAACCTAATTACCTCTGAGGACTCCACATCAGAATACCATTATATTGGGGATGAGGATTTCACTGTATATCTGTGGCTGGGGCAGGAGCATTTAGTCAGTAGCAGCCACAATTTCTCCCTTGAGTCCTTGACTCCTAAAATGCTTTCGGTACCCGCAGCCCCTCGACCTTAATCACTGTACTAGAATATAAGCTCTATAAAATGTGAGCTCTATGAGGGCATTAATGGCTTCTGTATTCTTCGTGGTGGTTTTTTGTTTGTTTTATGTGTGTGGAGGTGGGGATTAAGCCAAAGTCCTTTACTCTAAGCTGTGTCCCTATCTGTTTTAATTTTTAATTTTGAGACAAGGACTCACTAGGTTGCCCACACTGGCCTGAAACTTGGGACCCTCCTGCCTCAGCTTTCCAGGGCACTGGGATTACAAGAATGTGCCCCTATGCCTGGTCTCATAGAGGTGTTTTTAAGTTCTTGCCTGGGGCCCAGTAAGGTAGTGATGCTTCAGAAACATGTCAAGAATGTCCTACCTGTGTATCCTCCCGTATCACTAGCACCCATTTTTTAAAAAATTTCTTTAGAGCCCAGCATGATGGTGCACACTTGCAATCCTAGCACTCAGGAGACTGAGGCTGGGGGATTGTGAGTTTGAGGCTTGCCTGGGCTCCATAGTGAGATCTGTCTCAAAAATTTGTGTATGTATTGTATGTATTAGAGATTGAACCCAGAACTATACACATGCTACATGCACACTCCACCACTGACCTATACCCTTAAAACCCACATTTTATTGGTTTAATTACAACCCCCTTCTCTCTCTGAATTCCTGTTTATTCCCCTACCCTATCCCAATGTCTAGGCTGTCCTTGAAATTTGAAATTAGTTCAGCAGAACAGATAGACTCTAGTTAGTGGTATTTTTGTTGGAATTAACTCATCTCTCCAGAAAGAACGACTGCAGATGGCCTCAGTTCTTCATTTCTACGTTCGCCCCTCTGGCCATGAGGGGGCAACCTCTGGACGCAGTCTCCGGAAACTGCAAGAGAAACTGCCAGAGCTGGAGCGTGTGGAGACTGAGCTGTGCTACAATGTGAACTGGACAGGTTAGGCCAGGTATTGGGTTCTTGCGAGAGGTGCCCCAGTGCCAGGGCAGTGTCTCAAGTTGTCATTGCCCTGTCTCTGTGTAGCTGAGGCCCTCCCGAGTGCCCAGGAGATGAAGAAGCTCAAGTGGCTGTTTGGCTGTCCCTTGTTCCTGGATGATGTTACTCAGGAGTCTTGGCTCCGTCCTGGTTCAAATGACCTGCTGCTGGAGGTTGGGCCCAGGTTTGTATCTCCTCCTGGCAGCTTGTTCCATGTTCCAGGGCACATCCTCCATTTCAAACTATGCCCACCACTTCCTCTTCCATTCCCCTCCTTTCTCCTGTTCTCTTTGGAAGATTTGTTTTTCCTTTGTTCCATCCCACTCCCCACCTAGAAAACTGCACATACTTTCCTTGTGTGGGTAGATGCCTTTGGAGACTGAGTCAGCCAGGGCCATGTTCTGGGAGTAAAATGACTTGCAGCAGTTGTGGCAGTTTTGATTCTCAAGGGATGGTTATGGTTTGAGTAACATTTGAAATCAGGTTTCTTGGTGCCCTGTGTGAGGCTGGAGGCCAGTGGTGAGAGGTAGTGATTGGTGGGAGGTTAGTTGGACAGCACTGGGCAGGATCCATCTGCCCAGCTGAGGCCTGCCAGGGCTCTCCAGCCCTCACCATCTGGGCCTACTCCTCAGGCTGAACTTCTCCACCCCAACGTCCACCAACATCGTTTCCGTGTGCCAGGCTGCTGGACTGGTGGCTGTGAATCGTGTGGAGCCTACCCGGCGCTACCAACTCTCGGTAAGGCAGCAAGTGATCAGGGTGGTGAATCAGGAGGTTAAGATGGACCAGAGATAAAGAGTTTAGGTTCTAAACTTTAGGAAATAATGGGAGAAGCCAGAATGAGTTCTGAGCTTAGGATGATTATGTATGGTTGTGCAGGTTGTTTATACCCTGCAGTTCCCTGGTTGAGTAGTGAATAGGACAGAAATCCAGCCTCTGCTCCCTGTACTAACCTGTACATCATTGCATGGACTTGTGCCAGAAAGGGGAGTCTTTCTGTAGTCTGAACAAGATACTATGGAGGGGCAGGATTATAGTTCAGTGGTAGAACAATTGCTTAGCCTGTACAATGCCCTGGGTTCAATTGCCAGCACTACCACCAAAAAAAAAGAGAAAAGTTTCTCTAGGATCTGACAGTGGCCTGGCTGGCACTGCATGGCTTGGAGGCCCAAGGATGGACCATTTCTCTTCAGTCTTCAGCTATCCTTTATCTTTTGTGTGTGTCTCATCCTCAGTTCGCCCACCGTTCTTCAGCTGAGACGAAGGCCATGGCCCTGGCTATCCTGCATGACCGGATGACAGAGCAGCACTTCCCTCATCCCATCCAGAGCTTCCTCCCTGAGAGTATCCCAGTCCCCCTCAG